ATGTAGAAAAGATGTGGAGACTCTAGAAAGAGTGCAGAGAAGAGCAACAAAGATGATTAGGGGACTAGAGACTAAAACGTATGAAGAACAGTTGCAGGAGCTGGGTACGTCTAGTTTAATGAAAAGAAGGGCTAGGGGAGATATGATGGCAATGTACCAATATCTCAGGGGTTGCCACAAAGAAGATGAAGTCAAACTATTCTCCAGGGCACCTGAGTGTAGAACAAGAAGCAATGGGTGGAAACTAATCAAGGAGAGAAGCAACTTAGAACTGAGGAGAAATCTCCTGATACTTAGAACAATTAATGAGTGGAACAGCTTGCCTCCAGAAGTTGTGAATGCCACACTGGCAGACTCTAAGAAGATGTTGTCTGAAACAGTATAGGGTTTCCTGCCTAGGCAGGGGTTGGACTAGAAGACCTCCAAGGTCCCTTCCAGTTCTGCTATTGTATTGTATTATAGTACCTTGTGTAATTACGGGGATCAGATTTTAAAATGGAAGATTACATGATTATATGATATTGCAATTGTTTGTGGAAATACAATGTAGAAATTATTTAGAAACTGCTTTGTAATAATCCTAATGCTCTTCTTTGCTTTTCTTTCTAGGAAATTTATTGAGACCCATGAGAAGTTCATAAATGCTAATCAGGAAACTCTATCCCATATTGTTGGCCATGTTGTGCACATCTATGAAGAAATCTGTAAAGGGGATTCCCTGGAGGCTTTACTTGACAGAGTAAGATATACTCATGTCTGCTGCTTCAAACCTAAAATATATAGATATGAAAAATCCTAGAAAGAGGCTCTTTTTTTTTAACCTGATTGACTTTCTTAAGATGTTTTCTTTTTAAAAACTAGGCTTTCAAAGCACTTAATCAAGCTTTTGAGTGGATAAGACATTTGCTCAATTAACTTTTACTCAATGTAGTATAGAAAGTCAAGAAGTAGCTTCTTAAATTATCTGTCTCAACCCCAAGGATTTTTTTTTAAAAAAGTGATCTTTTTTTCCAGTATCATCTTTTGACATTTTCACATTTCTCTGGTGATTTTTCAAATTAAATTTTCTAAATTCATGAAAACGAAATTCAACACACATATATGCAAACAGATATATTTTATTATTTTGTTTTCACAACTAAAGATTGATAATGTAAATAGATAATATATAACATGCAGATTCAGGTTCTGGTCCTCTTTAGGCATTGAGGTTGGCTAGCTGATCTTGGGCAAGTCAACCATTCTCAATCCCAAACCATCACAATCTAACTCTTTATAAGTTAGCTTTCGTTTTGCTGTGTGAAGTAGGCCAGCACCTTGTAAACAAGAAAGTCTACAACCATGTAAGCAAGCAAAAAAAAAAAAAAAGGAATGGGAAGAGAAGTAAGAGATAGCTGTGATACCACTTTATACAATTACAGAGGGTCAGGTGATGAGATAAAATGAATTTATTTAGATTTGAGTGGTTCTGTTTGCTTTAAAAAAAAAACCTTTGACAACCAACCTTAGATGGACAGTTATGTAATTCCCAAAGACACAAGCAAACAAATATGAACTATATTTAACATTGTCTTCTTAAAAACACAGAAAAGATCTAATAAACTAGATTACCCTTTGTATGTAAATGACATATAGCAGTTTCAGGAATGAACTCAGATCCTACCTTTTTGAATCTCTCTAGTGTTTTTACCTAGTCATTTTTTCTAGTAACATCAGCAAAATAACTCTCTCTCTCTTTTCTTTAGTTTTCTAAAATGAAAGGCTAGAAAGGCTAGTTATTCTCTGCAGGATTGAACACTTGCAAATAAAAATAAATAAACATTGCACATTGTGTAGAAAAGGTTTATTTTAAGAATTATGTCACATTCTCTAAACATTTGAAATAGATTATACCTAATGTATTGTGTGGTTCCACAGATTCAGTGACTTCAGCCAAATCTTTTGAAAATTTACTTGTTTGCCATTATTAATTTTATTGGTAAAGAAGCATTGAAAGGGTTTTGTAGTAGTCCATAGTTCCTCCAACTATAACTTGCCTTTCTTCAAAGGACCAATTTCTCCCTCTTCTTACAGGCAGACCTGTCAAAATATGTCTGTGAGCACAAAGATGCTATATCTTCTAACGTTGGTGCTTGCTGTGAAAAGCCTCTGGTGGAAAGGCCAAACTGCCTTGCTGCTTTGGAAAATGATGCAAGATCTCCGGATCTTCCCCCACCATCTGGAGAAATCTTAAAAGAGGCAGAAGCATGTAAATTGTTGGCTGAACAAGGAGATGGACACTGGGAAAGGTATGGCTTAAATATTTTTACACTATTTCACACTAAATGAATGGGGCTAGATTATACAAAAATGGAAGAACATATAGTCTTCTGCTCTGAATGTATGCAAGAGATTCTACTCCAAGTTTAGATGCAATAAAGCAATGGGTATTGGAGAAGAGTATTGGCAGTTTCCCCAGTATTACTTCAAAACCTTAAAGCAATGGTCCCCAACCTTTCTGGCTTTGAGGATCGGCGGGGTGAGGAGAAGAGGGAATGGTTCCACCATTCACACAAATGGATCTTCATGTATGCACATATATGGGGCTGTGCCCATATTTCCCTGCTGCTTTTACGGCCTACTTCCAAACAGGCCAGGGCCCAGTATTGGGCCAGGGCCAAGGTGGTTGAGGATTTTCTTCTCAAAGAAGATAAAATTATTTGGTCTTTTTTTAGTTTTTAATTTTATTTACAAACATGTAAAATACACACACACACACAAAACTTAGACGTACACCACATTTACACAATACAATATGATCAGGAGCTTCCTGTTCTTTCTAATAGCAATTGCCAATCGATACCACTCACCTTATATTGTTTCTCCTTCTATTATATTTCATTTGTATTTCACAATTCTTAACCCTCTTATCTTACTCCTCTGTTTGCTATATTGGCTGATTACCTCTAGTAAGTTTAAACCACTTGGATACATATTTATGTGTTAATTCTTCTTACCTACTATTTTTAGGCTTTGTTGTCTTCCTTCATTGATCCTTGTTTCTTTCCTCCATCCACCTATACCATTTATCCCATATCTGGTAG